GCAGGTCGAGGCTGTGGTGGCCGGGAGCGTGCCACTGCACTCCAGTCTGGGCGACAGAGTGAGACTCGAACTCAAAAAAAAAAAAAAAGTTAGCAAAGGGCTGGGCATGGTGGCTCACGTCTATAATTCCAGCACTTTGGGAGGCCGAGGTGAGGGGACTGCCTGAGAACATGGGTTCGAGATCAGCCTGGGCAAGTTGGCGAGACCTCATCTCTACAATTAAAAAAAAAAAAAAAAAAAAGCCGAGCATGGTGGTGCTTGCCTGTAGCTACTTGGAAAGTTGAGGTGAAAGGGTCTCAGAGGAAGACGTTCAAGCAGCCAACAAACATAAAAAATGCTCAAGCTCACTAATCATCAGAGAAATGCAAATCAAAACTACAATGAGATACTACCTAATACCTGTAAATATGGCTATCAATAAAAAGTCAAAACACAACAGGAGTAGGTGTGGCTGCGGAGAAAAGGAAAGCTTCTACACTGTTGATGAAATGTAAGCTAGTTTAACTTTTGTGGAAAGTGGTGTGGCATTTTCTCAAAGAACTAAAAATTGAGCTACCATATGATCTAGCAATCCCACTTCCCCATGAACCAACCCAGATGCCCATCGAAAGTGGACTGGGTAAAGAAAATGTGGTACATATATATTATGGAATATTATGCAGCCATAAAAGTACAACAAAATTATGTCATTTGGAGCAACATGGATGCAGTTGGAGACCATCATTTTAAGTGAACTATCATAGAAACAATGAACTGAATACTGCATGTTCTCATCATCAGCGGGCCCTAAGCACGGGTCATACGGGCACAAAAGTGAGAACAACAGAAGCTGGATACTGCTAAAGGGGGGAAAGAGGGAAGGAAGGAAGGAGGGAGGGAGGAGGGAGGAGGAATAAGGGGCACACAAGCACACCCTGGGTACCAGGTCCACTATTAGGTGGAGAGGGGGCTCGCTAAAAGCCCAAGCATCACGTGCATGCAATTTACTTAAGTGGAGTAAGTGCTCACATGTACCTCATAACTCTAAAATAAAATAAAGGCTGATTCCAAAAAAAAAAAAAAAAAAAAAAAAAAAAAAAAAAAAAAAAAAAGAATTTTGGAAATATATTTTAGGCTAATAATAATCTTAACCCTGACAAAGAAACTACAATACAAAATAGAAATAATTGGTTATTGTCAAAATTATTTCTATTCACTTATGGATAATACTTTGTTGTAACAAACATTAAGACTGTTAACACATGCAAAAATACTGTCTATTAAAATGTTAGCATGCATTCAGTTAAAAAAGGGCATGTTTAAAAAACTTATTTAGATTTTATTTACATGCAACAAAGACTAGCATATATAGAAGTCTTCTAAACATTAAAATATATTATTGGTATATGTGAACCAGTAAAGTGAGAATCATGTAAGATTTTGCAAGTCATTTTTGGGACAGTGGGAATTTCAGGTTCATGATATTAAGAAACCAAGTGTTAAATTTTGGCTGAACACTAATATTTTAAAGCTTTTAGGATTGTTTTTCTTTCAGGACTCTAAACATATACTCAGTGATAGAAATAAACCTTTACTATCTAACAATGAAGATATAATTACAGTCTGAAAGTTTTATATACCATAACACTTAAAACAGAATCCAGCATGTACAAGTGATAGAAGGTATTATAAGGAACCTTAACAGAAAGATGCTAACATTTTTGCTCACCCAAACACAAGGATCCCACCAATTCAGTTTTATTTGGATAACATAAATGGTCTTTTCAAGTTACTTTATAATTTAAAGAAATCTAAGAGTTTTAATGAAAAGATTTAAAAGTTGAGCAAGTTCACTATTAATCTGCTTGAACAGCAGGTTTAAGACATAGCAGGTATAACTAACTGGATAGATGCGACTACCTATCCTTGGCTCAGTTTTCAGATGTTAAAGGTGAAGTTAGGTGTCTCATATTATTAGTAACAGGTGTGTAAATTAAGAGTTCCTATTCTTTGTTAACCAGATTTAAACTTATAATTTATTATCTACAATCATGTGCCAGGTATTATGTGCTTTATTATCATCTCAAGTTTCATTATAGCACAGGGTTCCTGGTATTTTAGCTGAATACTAATATTTTAAAGCTTGTCTGTTTGCTTTTCTTTTAGAACTCTAAAATTGTATTCAGGGTTAGAAATAAACCTGTACAACCTAACAAGAAGAGAGCATTACTATTTGAAAGCTTTGCAAACCACCTATTAATGAGCAAATTGTGAGAAGCGCTTTTTAATTATTCTTTGGCTTTATTTGGCAGGAAGACTGGAGAACTACAGATCCAAACATGTTACAGGCATTCTATTCCCCCCTTTGCTTGATAATCATGATGAATGGGATCCTGGTAAACAACCATACTTTTCTTTCCTATTTACTTTGACTGACCTAATGGGTCAGGCAAGAAATCAGCCAAGTTTTTAAAAAATAGAGATGGGGGTCTTGCTGTGTTGCCCAGGCTGGTCTCAGACTCTCAGGCTCAAGTAATCCTTCTGCCCCAGTCTCCCGCAGTGCTGGAGGCCACTGCGTCCGGCCTTCAGTTGCGTTTTATTAAACTCATAAAACAGACTGCTACAGGATGAAATGAAATGACTTATGTGACTCCCTTACACTTGATTAAGCAACTGATAGTTTATCTTATCTCAACTAAATCATCTAATGGGAAAGAACTATACTAGAAAACAGTACCTTTTTGGTTTCAAATTGTGCTTCCTCCTGACAGCATCCTCTGCAATTAGGATCTAGCTGGAGCAGGTTGAACTGTCCGAGAAGATCACAAGAGCTGCAGAGCAAGTTGCTGGAAAAACCCAACTCTCTGCATGACTCCTTTGAAAACTCTGCCCCAAAGGCAGACACCTGAAATAGAAAATGAGAAATACAAAATCATTTTACATTTACATTCTAAAGCTTCCCAAAAAGAGAAAAGAGAGTTGCCAAAATCCAACACACTGGAGATGAGTTACTGAAACGTTTCACTTGGAGACACATTCTTTTTTTTTTTTTTTTTTTTTGAGTTGGAGTCTCACTCTGTCGTCCAGGCTGGAGTGCAGTGGCACGCTCCCGGCCACCACAGCCTTGACCTGCTGGGCTCCGGAGATCTTTCTGCCTCAGCCTTCCAAGTAGCTGGAACTACAGGCACATGATACATTCTTTTCAAACTCTATAAGTTTATTTGAGTCGTTGGTTTCTCTCACCTCCCCCACAAGTTTTTTTCTTAAAAATCTGTCATCTTCCAGCTTAGCTAAAATATGGATTACCAAAAAAAGTATGTATCATTTTTCACCTGTATATTACATATAATTATTTTATTAAACATTGTTTTTGAAAAGGAATTTTCTTATAAGGAAAAGTAATATCCATTTCATTTCGAGAACATAACACCTGTTCATATGGGTCGGTAGAGTAACACGAACTGTTGGATTTATCTGCACATTCAGTTGGGAAGGGTGGGAAAGGAGATGGAGCACACCAGAACCAAACTTCTGGTTTTAGGCACTGGCTCCACCCCTTACAAGATGTGCGACTCTGGGTAAGCTGCCTCCTTAAGTTTTAATTTCCTCACAAAGTAAGGACCAATATGTCCTACATAAAACAGACTGCTGTAGGATGTAATGACTTACCTAAAGTAACCAATCGAGTGAATGAAAAAGCAGGCTTTCAAAAACACTCTCTCCCCCCATCCATTCTTCTTTCACCTCTCAGTGACCTGGTGTACCTCCGCCTGGGATAACCCCTACCTGTGCTTTGGATTCTGCATTCTCTCATCTCCACAGGGATTTCGTTTCATCAACACCTCAACCCTTCTCTGTATTCAAGCCCCGTGGCTCTAGCTGCTCTCTTCACATTCTGTCATTTCTGTTACCATAGCCTGGTTTCTGATCCTACTACTGTGTTAAATTTGCCAAAAATCACCAAATGCAAATGCATTCAAAACTGTTTCTGCTTCAGCTGCTCCTTCCAGAGGCTTGCCCTACTTTTCCTTTCTTCTATCCCTCATTCAACAGAATGAGTTGGGGGTCTCATTCTGTTGCCAGACTGGAAAGTAGTGGCACAATCATAGCTCACTGCAGCCTTGAACTCCTGGGCTCAAGTGATCCTTCCTCCTTGGCCTCCTGAGTAGCTGGAACTACAGGTAACACATCACTAAGCCAGGCTAATTAAAAAACTTTTTTTTTGCAGAGACAAGGTCTTGGTATGTTGTGCAGACTAGTCTCAAACTCCTGTCTCAAGCAATCCTCTTGCCTCAGCATTCCAAACTGCTGGGATTACAGGCATGAGCGCCTGCACTATGCATGTCTTAAATGCTGTTGAAATCACAGTTCTGTTTTTGGCTCTCTCTTAGCTTTATATACTTTCTATGGACGACGCCATCTTTATCATGGCTTCAGATATCTATAATGGAGAACTCTCAATTTTTTTTTCATGAATGTCAAGTTTCCAATGCTAACAGCTCACTTGATGTCTCATTTAGATGTTGCATATGTACTGCAGATTCAAAATCTCCAACAGCGAAACGTTATCTTTCTCCTTAAATCCATTCCTCCTCAGGCAATTAGTATCTTAGTAAAATGGCACTATTTCCCTACCAATTAGTTGCCCAGGCCAGTCATCCTATACCCTGTACTCTTCACCATTCTCATAGCCATTTGATTAACATATTTTTACAATTCCACTTCATATTCAGTTCTCAGATCTTTTCCTGCCTCAGAGGCTTATATGCTTACCACCAGGGCTACTTCTCATTACTTTTCCAATCCCATTCTATTTTCCAGCTGTAATGAACTCTTATAGTACTGAAAGTATAAAAGTCCTTCTGGATTTCCAACACACCTTTGCTCACACTTTTCCTATATCTAAGGCTCTTTTTCCACTTTTCACCTTGTTGATTCCTACTTATTTCCAAGAACTTGATCAATATCAGTCTTCTAGAAGCTTTCTCTGAAATAATCAGATCTCAATCTTTAGCCACAATACTACTCTAGTACTTCTCTAAGAAATAAATTTGTGCCTAGTAGTAAAACAGTACCTACCACTCATGACACTGTACTATGCAAATCTGGGATTGTCTGACTCCTCAATAATACTCTGAGCTCTTTTGAGGACAAACATTGTTTCTTGCGCCAGTTCTCACATTTGTTGAATAAATGAATTGGTCAAAACATAGCTTCAAGCAGGGGGAGTTTCAGATTACTTAACTGCAACTGACTGATCTTCCAGACCAAGGGCCTGCAAACTTTATCAAAGGGCCAGATAATGTTAAGCTTTGATGACTATATGGTTTCAGTCACAATGATTCAATTCTGCTACTGCAGTGCAAAAGCAGTCATAGGCAATACATGAATGAATGAGTGTGCCTGTGTTTCAAATAAGACTTTATTTAAAAAAACAGGGTTGGGTGGATTTTGCTCACCAGCTGTAGTTTGGCCTCTTCTAAATTCATCCAGTAGATTAAAATCCAGTGGCATCTCCCAATGAAAAAATTTTATGCTGACATATTCACTCAAAATGCTGATCATCCCATTGGTCTTAACATTAGTTAACACCCTAATATAATATATTACACATCTTTTATCCTAACTCTGTAATAATGTCAAATGTATATAATCTTCAAAACAGATCAAATATTATAGCCTAGTAGAGAAACTTACAAGTTTCCTGGTTAGGTTGTAAGGTTGATCCCTCTAGTCTAACTATGAGACAACTAACTATAACTTGCTACTGTACTTGTATTTTGGGCAATTTCTTCATTAGTAAGGAGATCTGCCTCATCTATTTCACAGGTAAATTTGAAAATCAAGTATAGCAATGGAGTAGATTGTGTTCCAAAGATGGCTGGATCAACATATATACATCATCTTACAATGTGAACAGTATTCCTCCACTGAGAAGTGGGGTCCATGTTCCTCCTTTTGAATCTGGCCCAGAGCCGTGACTGTTTTCACCAACATTGCATAAAAGTTATGTGATTTTTGAGGAAAGGTCATAAAAAAAGAAAGCCTCTGCCTGGCTAGTACACTCCTTTTCTCTGTAAGCATCAGCTTTGGAACTTAACCACTGCTATAAAGAAGCCTAAAACTAGAGAGACAACATGGAAGAGCCCATGTAGAGAGCAACTGACCTCCAGCTGACAACCAGCATCAACTACTACACATGTGAGTAACGCATCTTCAGATTTCAGGCTCCAGTCTGAGGCACCATGGAATAGACAGGCCATCCCTGCTGTGCCCTGTCTGAACTGCTGACCCATGGAATTTGAAAGCAAAGTAAACAATTGTTTTACACCACTATATTTTGGGGTAATTTTGTTTTGCAGCCATAGTAACTCAAACAGGCAGTAAGAGTGAAATCACTTTGAAAATTGTGAACTGCTTAACAAATGTAAAAAAATTGTTAACAAAGCTCATTTAACAAAATAAGAATCTCAAATGAATAATCATGTAACCGTACTATTTAGCTTTATTCTGGCATTTAGGAAGCACCTACTGACAGGTGGCATGACTATGTAAAACAGAGGTATTTCAAAGTTTTAGGACATCTAGATTCAAATATCAGCACGGAGCAAATCTATTTCTGAACAGGAAGTATTAACATTTATCTCACAGAGTCTTGAGGATTAAAAGAAGAAAATGAATAGAAAGCATCTAGCATCCTGCCCAGTATGCAGTGGATACTAAATGTATGTTATCATTATTCCCACCTTTCACTGTGACACAGCCTTAAAAATTACAAAACACTATATAAATGTCTTAATCATTATATTAGATGTGGGGAAAGGGTTCGAGTAAGGGAGATACAAGGTATCTAAGGAAGTTAAGAGTTACTGTAAGTTTTCTAAGTAAACTACTTAAAGTAAACTACCTTTTTCCGGCTGTTCTAGCACTGGTTTTCCAGACTCAAGACTTTGAATTTAAGGACATCAAGCATATTTTAAGCACTTTACAGATAAATACCTAATGTTAAATAATATAGAAAAGAAGTTCGAAATTATGCCTGCAATCTTTTTATCGCCAAAAAGTAACTGAATAGCATTTAAATTTGCACATTAAGACCAAATGTAATTTTTCTTTTTTTAAGTTGGAGTCTCACTCTGTTGCCCAGGCTGGAGTGAAGTGGCATGCTCACGGCCACCCCAGCATCCACCTGCTGGGCTCCAGCGATCCTTCCGCTTCAGCCTTCCAAGTAGCCAACACTACAGGTGTACGCTACCATGCCCGACTAATTTTGGATTTATTTTAGAGACAAGGTCTTGCCAAGTTGCCCAGGCTGGTCTTGAACCTGCGGGTTCAGGAAATCCATTCGCCTTGACCTCCCAAAGTGCTGGGGTTACAGGATGAGCCACTGAGCCCGGCCCAAATATAAAATTTTAAAATAATAAACCTCACTTGTGAGAAAGACAAAGGTTCTAAGGACAGGGCTCCTGACTGGGACAGCCATTTAACTTTCTCTATTGCAGAGCATAATTAACAAACTAAGAGACTCTATTCCCTCGTTCTCCATGTACTGAGTTCCCTGTAAAGAGGGTTCTCAGCAAAAGCAAAACAAAAACCCCCAAAATGGACAGTACCATTGCCTTTTGAGGCAAAAGTCTGATATAGCTACATATTTTATTATACTTATACATATTAGCTGTCTCTCAACTGGTCTTTACTCAGGTAATTCATAAGTTTCTCACATAATTGTGAACAAATTTCCAATATGAGACAAAAGCAAATAGATGGATTTACAGAAGGAATCCCCCCAAAATGAATACCAAAACACAGGCAGTACAGCAAGCTCTTACAAAGCACCAGATATTTTGCTAAACACTTTACACCTGTATTCTATTTGACCTTAACTATCCTAAGAGATAGGTATTA